CATAATGCCCAGGGCTACAACAATGCTGTATAGAACTAGTTTGCCTTGCAGATAACAGGAACACCCAGGATCACCTATGCACAACCAGGAGCACCCAGTCTGTTATCTCAGGTATTTCAAGGTACATTGGGTCACACTTAGCCCCGAGCTGCACAAACACAATGCAAGCCTAATTCCTTGAGATTGTGGGAGAGGTGGAGTCTCTGACTCAAGACCTCCAGGCTCTGTGGACTCTGTCAGACACGTAGCCGGCTCCCAACAATTTCTTGGTTCAGGGAGTATTGCAAAATTCTTTACAAAACAGGTTCAGCTAGAGGGCACACAGTGACTTTCCCAGCCATCAATTATGGAGCTATAAACAAGTCAGCACAATAATTTACCAATCATCAATTATGGGGTTATGAACATGTCAGCACAGTGCCTCTCTCATATCGATGTTTCTCTCTCTCTTTCTCTCTCTCTCCCTCCCTCCCTCCCTCCCTTCCACTCTATTTAAACAGCAGTGGGAAAGTATCCTCAGGTGAGGATTAAACAAAAGAACAAACAAGCAGAAACAGACCGCCAGGGGGCTCCTCTCCACTGGAGGGCGCCGACTGTACCAGCACAGCGCTCACTCGGTTACAGTCGGCCTTGGCTCAGTCTCACAGCCGTGACCTGGGGCACAGTGGTGGTGGTGGTGACTCTGTGGTTGGGGTGCAGGCTGAGGGGGTGCAAACAGACCCACACTAAGGAGGATGTAAACAGCTCGCCGGTGTGTCTGTCGCTCGGAAGCGTGAGCAGGGCCCAGCCCACTCACCGCCCTGGGCCCAGCATCGTCTCTCTGGGCTTCTGCTCCGAGCCTCCCGGTTCCCAGGCGGGGTGTCTCCTCTGGGGCAGAAGGCTGTGCCTCATCCCTGTGGGTCCCTGGGCCCTGAGTCCAGGGTGTCTGATACTTCGCAGCCTTTTCATTTTCCCCCAGAGCATCCTTCTCCAGGGGCCGCGGGTCAGCCTGCCTGTGGGGCGGAGGAAGCGTGTGCAGGGTCTGGGGGGAGCTTTGGTTACATGTTAAAATAACATCCTCCCCCGTCGGGATCAATGGGTGGAGTCGCAGTGACAGACACTCAGGCCCAGGGGTGAGGAGGATGACGTTCGGAATAACAGTGACAAGTGCCCAGCGGGCGTTTCTTCCCTCAGTCCTACAGCCAGCCTCAGGGACGGGTGCTTCATTGTGCCCACTTATCAGATGAGAAAATCAAGACTCCAGATGAGAGGGACATGTCCAGACTCAACAGCTCACAGAGGAGAGGAAGTGACGGGGTGTGCACGCAGAGCCGGGGCGCCGCCCCGCTGCCCGCAGCTCCGTTCACCCCAGGCACCCAGCACCCCTTCAAGGCATTTATGTAAATGCTTGGCCGACTTCCCACATCACCACGTAAAAAGAAAAAAGGTCCATCCTCAGAAAGCACATAACATTTTCTGCAGGAAATTACAGCTCAAATGAAGAGAAATTGTCCCCTGGTGACATTTGCAGTTGTTCCTTTTCTTTTCACACAAAGCTCAGCACTGTGGGGACCCCCAGCTGCCGCCCCAGCAGAGTGGTGGTGGTGTCCTCGCTGTCATTCCTACCACCTCTCTGGCCACTGCCACACGGAACGTCTGAATCAGAGGTTCAGGGCAGGTGGGCTGCGCTCGGCGGGCACTCGGCGCTGACCCCTCTCCCTGCTCGGCCCCAGGTCTCGGCTGTGCCCAAAGCACACCCTTGTCCTCCGTTTCCTGCCAGGAAGAACGGGGGGCCCGGGGAGTGATGGGGGGTCACTGGCCCTTGCTGTGACCGTGGTCAAGCATTAGTGCTCACTGGATGGCTACCAAGACCCTGCAGGTGTGTTATTTTCACGGGCGAATCTGGTGGTGAGGGCCGTGTCCGTGGAGGACACCAGCTCCTCCAGCCGGCAACGCGGAGCCGTGGGAGGCAGCCCGTGAGTGGGTGGGCTTCGGCAACCCGAGGCCACCTCCGCCCTGAAGCCGCACCTGGTCCCACCCCGGCCGCGCGCCCATCGCCTGGTCCCACCCTGGCCGCATGCACGAGCCCATCACCTGGTCATTTAAAACTCCCTAGGAACTTCAGAGGGTCTCCAGGTTGAGAAGCACTGGCTGGACTGGAGGTTGACACTGTCCCCCGCAAGCCGGTCCAGCCACCGCCCGCTGTAAATGAACCTAACGTTGGTTTGCTGATGGTCCGCGGCTGCCGGGGGCTGAAGGCAGGTGGGTGGTTGTGACAGACGGCCGGCCGTATGGCCCACAGAGCTCACAGATTTACCATCCAGACCTTTGCAGAAAAGTGTGCCAACTCCTGACCGGACAGTTACTGTGCCCTCGTCAGCCTTCTTAACCTCCCCCAGCTTTGCCTCGGCGCGTCCGGCCGAGACTGTCGTGTGTGCAGCAGGCTCCAGCTTCTCGAGGGCGCGGACCTCTCTGAGCCCTGCGCTGTGGCCCGAGGAGCACGAGGCTGGTGTTCTTTGTTAACTACTGAACTTTGGGGTGTCTCGGCAGCCAAGTCTGGGTGAGCAGGGGGAGGAGGGCCGTGCTAGGGCCGGTTTGCTCCCGGGCCCCTGTGCCCAGGCGGGGACGCGTGACTGGAGGTGCCAGCAGGGAGCCTGGAGGAACGGGTCTCTGCATGAGAAGCCGGGACTGGGAGCCGGGAGGGGCAAGGAGCGGGTTCCAGGTTAAGGCTGTGAGACCCGGCGGTGTGGCCGGGCTGGTACCACCAAATCACAGGCCCGGGTGACTCAGAGATGGGCTCGGTCACCTGGTCCAGCAGCTGGAACCCGCTGCAGCTTCGTGACCGGTGACACTCCGCCTCGCGCTCCTCTGTGGATGGGGCCCCAGCACCTCGCTGGACACTCCGTGGAGGAGCGACAAACCGGAGAAACACCCAAGCGCGTATCGACAGGGTATTGAATACTATTTCCTCACAAACAGCTATCAGGAAAAAGATGGACGAGATGTATGTGTTCTGATAGGGAAGGTGTTGGAGACGTATGGCTAAATTAAAAAGAGCAGGTTACAAAAAAGTGTGTTTCACCGAGGCTGTTCGTGTCAGTAACCATTCTGAACACAAAGCCAACGGTGGAGGTCCTACCGCGGGGACGGCCGTCGGGGGGAAGGGCTCTTTATGAAGTTGGCATTTTTAAAACAAACCTGTGCTATCAGGGAAAGAAAAAGATGTTTCCAGCAAAAGACAGAAAAGGCAACACCTTCCCTGACGTTGGTCCTTTCCACAGCATCTGCGCTGGGCCCCAGAGACAGGTCAGGGAGGGCCAGGCCTGGGCCCCTGGAGAGCGTGGTCCCCTGGAGAGCGTGGTCCCCTGGAGAGCGTGGGCAGTCCTCGGTGGTCTCCGGCTTGTCATTTTCTAACTCGAGTACACGCTCCCCGGGGACAGTTCTGTCCTCCACACGGCAGCTGGACGCAGTCGTCAGAGCAGGGCCTCCGGGAATTCCTGCGGAGGGAGGGAGGGAGTGACCTCGGGGACCGATCACCCGTGCCCCAGGCGGCTCCCCTCTCCGAGCATCCCTGGCATCGCTCGCTGGCCACGCACCCCCTGCCCAGTGTCCTCCAGCCTGGGGGGCTGTGCGGCCCGAGTGAGGAGTGATGGGAAGGGTCGGCAAACAGGTAGGACATCTGCCTGGAGAGGCCGAGGCGTCCCGGCCGGCAGCCGAGAGGGCGGCCGTGGGAAGCAGGGCAGGGGCGTGGAGGGCGGAGGGCGCTGGAGAGTTTGGGGAGCACTGAACTGAGCTGAGGGGGAGAGGCTTTGAGACAGTGTAAGGCAGGTGAATGGCAAAAGGGAAGGGGAGGATATGTCAGCCAGAGGCGGAGTTGGGGGTGCTTTCGGAGGTGGGGGTGCTGTCGTGCTCTTAGGAGATACAGTGATTTTCATGGGCTCCTCGGGGGACCAGATTGTTTCTCTAGGGGTGGTGCGCATTTGGGGTGGGCCTGGGGACTCTGATTCATGTGGGTTCTAATAGGTGAGTGCAGTGTGGGCTTAGGGCCCTGCCCACTCTCCCCGTCATTGGTGGGGTGGGGGCGGGGATGAGGGTTTCCGTCTGGAGCCAAATCCCAGAGTCTGCTGCCACCCCCACCGGGACCTCCAGCCCCTGCTCGGCTAGCCCACCTCACACCTGGGGCCTTGGTCTGAGATGCGGGGGGGGGGGGGGGGGGGGGCGGGCCAGAGCCGCGCCCACGGCTGGTGGGAACAAGCGCTGTGGCAGGGGCAGCCGCCGGCTCGGTTTGTGTGTAGGGACGGCTCTAGGAAGTGTTTGGGTTTAATTAAGCAAAGTGACACAGCTAAAACAAGTCCATCGCCCCAAATCAGAAAACGGGGGTAAGTTGGAAAAGGAGGCCCCAGCTTTACCCCCTCTGGTCTCATTATCCAGGGTTAATCCATGAGGCTTCTGGTACATATTCGGCCAAATAACTTTCCTGCGTCCTTTTATTTTAGCATTACAAGCTTTTTATTATTGGTTTTTTAAAAAAAATTTTCAGTGTTAAAATGTCGTATTTTTATTGTTGAAAGTATTGCAGATATCCTCCCTTTTCCCCATTGACCCCTCGTCCCCGCGCCCGCGGGCTCCTGTCTTCCCGGCCGGATGTCCGTGCCCACCGGTTGTCCACACGTGCACACAGTTCTTGCATACCTTTTCAAACAAGTCGAACTGGACACCTTCTTTTGTAACTTGCTGTTTGCACATAACTAAGCATCTTTTTGTAAGAGCACGTGGCTTTGCATCCAGGTTCTGCCTCTGATTTATTAGCTGTGTACCCCATATCGATCACCTCGCCCTCAGTGCCTCAGTTTCTTCATCAGGAAATGGGGGGCAGCGACGCCCCTCCTGGGGGGAGGTCTCTGGGCCGTGGTGCAAAGCTGCTTTGCAAACAGAAGGAGGGGCTGCACCCCTTCAGGGCCTGGGTGTCTGCCAGCTCAGCTGCTCTTTCTGACACAGGCTTTGGCTTCTCTTCTCTCCAGGATCGAGAAGGGGGACGGGAACGAGGAGGAAGACTTCCACTTGGATTGCCGCCACGAGAGATACCCAGCCCGTAAGTGGCCTTAGCTGCGGGAGCCTGTGCGCCGTCTGGGCCGTCGGCGGAGAAAACCCTGGAGATGGGCCAGGCGGCCCCTTCCCCGAACCCCTGCATTCTCCCCCAAACACGCGACAGACGGGGAAACCGAGGCGGGTGTCAGCGGGGCGAGTCCCCTGCCTGCAGCAGCCGCAGCCTCCCGGTGGGGCTGCTGTGCTGACGGACAGGCGGGGGACCGCAGCTGGAGCCCAGGCCTGGGCGGCCGCGGCCTGCAGGGGGCACAGCAGCCGTGGGGGGCGAGCCGAGTCAGGGGGCTACGGATTCGTCTGAGCTGCGGGTGCTCCGGGGAGCTTCACGTGCCTCACTGCGGGGGACACCGTGGGCAGAATCTAGGGGGCCCGTTAGGAACGGAAAGGTCTGGGCCAGAAAGCAAAGGGGCGGGAAAGAGAGAGAAGGCTCCGGACAGGAAAGGGAAGAGCCTGAGAGATTGAAGTTAAACCGGCAGGACCCTGGCTGAGCCTGCCCAGCGCCCACCGGGAGCCCCTGCCCGCCCCACCCCACCCACAGGGCTTTTCGTGCTTGGTCCCGTATTCGTGCCCACCCCGACCCCTACGGAAATCACAACCCACATTTTGCAGATGAGGAAGTTAAGGCTCAGAGAGGTGGAGTAACTTGCCTAAGGTCACACAGCTCCAAGTCAGTGGCAGAGCAGTAAGAGCAGACTGTCAGTGCCCTGCCCCCCACATCTCAGCTCCTTTAGGGAGCTCTAGGGACTTCCAGCTGCCAGCACCCGCTCCTCTGCGCCCGCCCGGGGCTCCTCGGCCCAGGGAGGAGCACACTGGGTTGTTTGCACAGTCCCTGCAGGGTCAGACTCCCGTGCCCCAGGCTTCCCGGCATTTCCATTGTCTCCACCAGCTCCTGGGCCTCCTAAGATCTGCCCTACTCTCGAACGCCTCCCTCAGGGTCTCTTCTGGGAGGCCCGACTCAGTGGAGACAGCAAGTCAGGTCTGCCTGACTCCAAACCCCGGGATCCTCGTAGCCGAGACTGGGCTCCGCCTGGGGGGCGAGGGTGGGGTGGGTGAGGATCATGGGGGGCAGCTTGGGGAGGAGGAGGGCTGTCTTCTCTGAGGAAAGAGGCTGCTGTAGGAGGCACTGGCCCAGAGAGAGGACCTGCACGAGGACTCTTCTGTGGACACTGGGCTCACACCTGGGTTTCATGACAGGTGTCTGTGCTAGGGCGGAGGGCTTCCTGGGGGAAGGGGTCATGGAGGCAGCTGGGGAGCACCAGCCTCAGAGGTAACAGAGGGGAACAAACATCTACCAGAGGGCCCAGGAAGCATGTAGTAGGGACGAAGGCCGAGAGGCCGGCCCCTTGCAGAGTGCCTCTGGCCCTGCAGTGGGCAGGACACCCTGGCTGGAAGAGCTGAGGGGCTTGCTTTGGGGCAGCTGTGGAGCTGGGAGGAGGAAGGGCCAAAGGGGAGCCGGTCTGGCCCTAACAGTAAGCCCTGGAGTAAGGAGGGAGAGCCAGGGCGGGCCTCAGAGCCCTCCCCCAGCCTCGTCCTGCAGCCCGGACTGGTCCCGCGCCATCCCCTGAGCCCAAACGGCAGCGGTGTGTTTGCTGGGTCGACAGCCTGCACGGAATTCCATCTTGCATTCTTTCCACAAACACGCGCCGAGTCTGCTCTGCGCCGGCCCCATGCTGGGTGCTGGACGGTCCCGAGCAGGGGCGGAGCGAGGCCTGGCGGGGTGGCAGACTGAGGCAGAGACCCGAGTAGGCCGCGAGCTCAGAACCGAGCTGGGCCATCTCCGTGCGAGGCGGGAACCTGTGATGACAGAGAGGCGTGGGGAGCTGGGGCCTGGGGTGAGCAGGAGTCGGCCAATACAGAGCCTTCGGGGCAGGGGCCTGTGGTGCGGGGCACAGTCCCCACAGGAACAGCCAGGACTGGAAGCCCGGGGGGGGGGGGGGGGGGGGGGGATGGGCTGGAGGGAGCTGGGAGCCCTGATAAGAGGGGCCTGTGCAGTGGGGAGCCCGGGCGCCCTGAGCAGGGAAGAGACTGTCCAATTTGTTATCTGTATCTGCATCTGTGTCTGTATCCACACACCTAGGTCCACACAGGGTGGGCACACGTAGACCCACTCCTGCGTATGCGTTGATGTATTTATCTGTACCCCTGTCCGTATCCGTCCCTCCCTCCATCTGCAACAGGGATGGGCTGGAGGGGAGCTGGACAAGGTGCCCTCGTTCCCAGGAGAGACGATGGGGTGACATGAGATAAAAGCAGGTGGTCTCTTGGCCGGAAGAACTGTCAGTGTCTTAGGTTCCCCCAGAATCAGGTCCTGAGATAAGGACCCAACAGCAGGTAGCTGCGTGGATGCCCTCTGAAAACCCGGGTCAGAGCAGGCGATGGGGACTGAGCAGGGAAAGGCAGGTGGTGGCGAAAGGCTCACTGTCCCGCCGGTTAGCACGCTCCCTCGGGGACCTGCGCAGCCGGAGCAGAGCACTCGCGTCTGAGTCGCCCCAGATGCGGCCCTGTCCTCAGCCATCGCCGGGGGGCTGCGGGGGCGGGTGGGGAGCCCGGTGCAGTTGGAGGACAGTCTGCCTGGGTGCTGTGGGGACAACGGTGCTTTGTCCCCATCGCGCCGCGGGGCGGGCAGGCTGGGCACTGAGATAGTTGAAACCGGGGGCCCCCTGGGATCCTCGGGGAGAATGGGTGGCGTGTGGAGAGCGTGAGGCAAGGAGGGCCTAGCTCCGGGGCTGAGCGAGGCCGGGAAGGCGGGGAGGGTGCAGAAAGCTGTCAGCTGCCCCCGAGCTTCTCGGGAAGAAGGAACCTCGGGCCCACAGCACCTTCACCTCTGCCAGGGCCCGGAGGCGCTGGGGACTCCCGCTTCCAGAGGGCGAAGGAAAAGGCCCGCCTGCTGTCAGAGCGAGGGAGGGGTCCGGAAGGGGCCCTAAGGGGGCTGCTTCTGTGGCCGCATGAAAGTCCTTTGGCCATCACTTAGTCAACACATCTTTCCTGAAGATCTTCCCTGGGTGGGGCCCCCTGCTCCCAAGCCACCACCGTCCTCGTGGCCAGAGCTACGCGGGGGTCAGTGCAGGCGCCTCCTTGGGCAGGAAGAGGGTGGGGTGCTGGAGAGGGAGGGCTGGGCAGGGCACTCGCGGGGGAAGGGGGGCTCCAACCTGCTGGAAGTCTACAGCTGTGGTGCTGCTACTGGGCCTCGGCAGTGACAACAACCAACAAGAGTTCAGTCCCACCAGGTCTGAGGGTGGCGTTGGGCCGTGCGTGTGTTCTGAGAACTCCACATGTGTCCACTCACGTAATCCTAACTACCGCCCCGTTTCACAGGCGGGGCGTGGGCCAGGGCGGTCATGGCTGTGCCAGAGTGGCTGGGCTGGGATTAGCGGCCCGTCTGGCTCCAGAGGCCGAACCCTGAGCCGCTGCGTCCGTCCGTCAGAGGGTCCGCGTGCCGGGCACACCCCACCTGCCAGGCCCGCGCAGCGCGGAGGGCACAGGGCCCGGCGCACGGGACTTGGTCCGCAGAGCTCAGGCCGGAAGGCGGCCCGACCAGCCGGTCCCGGGAAACGATGCGGCTCCTGAATGCAGCCTCTGAGCTGCTGGTTTGGGCCAAGAAAATATTTTGGAAATGCCTGGACAAGTTTTGCAACATTTCTGCACCGAGCAGCTGCTCAGATTTGGTGGTGGGCTGACTTGGGCACAAGGGACTGGGGAGAGGAACGGCAGGGAGCCCATGTCATTAAATACTCAGTGTGAGCAGGTCTCTGCTGAGCACCTCACCCGGCTCCCGTGGTGGCCGCGGCCCCGAGCAGGGCGGCTGTTCCGTGCCTGCGGGAAAACCGGGGAGCTGAAAGGCAAAGGAGCTTTCCTCGATCTTTGGTCCACTGGGGTGCAGCTCAGCCTGGCGGGCAGTTCTTTCCTCTTACCCTGGGAGTGAGGGTGTTCCTGCTCTGCCCCCCGAGCCCCGACATCACTCTTCTCTCTCCCCCCTGGTTCTGCTGCGGCTACCCTGGTCTTTCTCCTCGAACCCACAAAACATGGCCTTCGGGGCGCTGCTGCCCTGCCGGTCTCTCCCTCGAGCCCTCGGCATGGCTGGCTTTGTCTCCTCTGTAAGTCTCAGCCGGGAGACTCTTCCTCGGGGAGCTTCCCCAGCCGCCCTCTGACACCTCGTTTGCGTTCGTCACAGTGTCTGGCTCTTTTTATTTATTTTTTAATCCTCACTCCAGGATATTTTTCTATTTATCTTCAGATAGAATTGGGGGGAGGTTAGAGGGAAGAAGAGAGAGAGAAACATCGATGTGAGAGAGACACATCGATTGGTTGCCTCCCACCCAACCCCGACCAGGGCCCGGGACTGAACTACAACCGAGGTACGCGCCCTTGACCAGAACCGAACCTGCGACTCTCTGGTCCGTGGGCCGACGCTCCAACCGCTGAGCCAAACCGGCCAGGGCTGGGACTGTCTTTTATATGTGCACAGGCACCTGTCTCTCGTGTTCACTTTTGTGTCCTGACAGCCGAGGACAGTGCACGGCACACGGGAGGGGCTGTCTCTCCTCTGAACCCCCACTCTCCCCCACCTGAGCAGCCACTTCCACATACACGGGGACATGTATTTTGGGTTTTTTTGGGGAGGGGGGACTACTGTGATATGAATTCTGCCACATTTTCTTTTTTTTCCCTGAGGAAAGCGTTTGCTTTTGAAACCTGCCTTGGGGCTTTGCAGAGCCACCAGTTAGCTCTGAAGCACGTCAGAAGTGACATTTGATGGAGAGACTGCTGCCGTATGGTGCAGGTGTCTGCCCCTTCCTTTCGGGGGCCACTGTGGTTTGCTACGGATTGCAGTTGTCAAGTTCAATGCCCAACACCGGCTTCTGATTCTGCCAGGTGTGTCTGAGAGGCAGAGCTGGGCACAGAGGTGGCTTCTGGGAGCTCCGTCTAGACAGGTCTCTGCCGCTGCCGCCGCCGCCCTCAAAATAGCAGAGGGAGTTGCAACGAAGACTT